CGAAAAGAAAGCAATCTAATGACAATCAGACTTTCTCAACACAAAGGAAGAATGTTGTCTTCAGTACAGTCATTCAAGTATGACTAGACATCCTCAACACGAAGGAAAAACGTTATTCACTGACTAGACCTCCTCAACGTGAATGAACAATGTCACCATCAAATTTGACATAGAGCAAATCACTTAAAAGCGATCAGATCTCCTCATCACGTAGGAGCAATGTAGTTTCCAAAAATCAAATTATCTCCATATAATCAGCCTTCTCCAACGCAAAAGAACAATGTTTTCTTTAGATACATTCATTCAAATACTTCTAGCAATCTTCATCACGAAGGAACAACATCGTCAACAAAAAATGCTTGTCTCCTTAGAGATTGATTCTCTTGAAATAAAATTTCATTTTATTCAACACAAATTCCCTTGAAACAATAACAAAAATTTGTTCCTTTTGAAATTATTTTTATCTCACTCGAAATGGTTTCTCTTGAAACAAACTTAAACAAATTTTGTCTCACTTGAGACAGTTCTTAAAAGAAAAAATTTTATCCTGTTGAAGATAATTTCTATCTCGCTCGATATGGTTTATCTTGAAGATAATTTATTTTGAAATTAATTTTTTCTTTTTCGACACAATTTTCTTTTGAAAATCAAAGCAGCGACAATGTTTCTCTTGAAACAAGTTATGTCTTGCTTAGAGTTTCTTTTGCTTGAAAGTGTAATTTTTAACATTTAAAATTCAGTTCTTTTGAGAATGTTTATTTGAAACAGAATTTAGAAAACATCTCCCTTGAGACAAATATCGTTTTTAGCATCTCTTGATACAATGTCAAATTTTAATGCAATAGATGGAACCAAACCTAAACTCTTCATCTTTTTATCTTTGTCTTATTATCGTTGACACAAGAATGGACAAAGAGGGGAAGTTGTTGACACTCGTTTTCACTCGATTTGTTTTATATGATTTATTTTTTAATATTATTTGTTTTTTATTTTATTAATTTGCAGGTCCATTACAATTACAAATGCCAACTGGCCTAAGTCTCAAACCTAAACCCAACCTAAACTAAACCCTAAGCTTATCATCAATCTAGCCCTAGCCCTATCATGTTCCTCCTACTATTGCCAGAGCACGTTGTCATTGCCGTTCAATGTGCCATTGTCATCCCAGTAACCAAATCAACCCAAATAAAAAAAAATCAAATCTAAGAACTCGGATTTCCAATAGCCATAGCCATCATTGAACCATTACCCCTTTGCCCCTATCACCATAGCCTCACCAAACGAGCAACCACCATCTATTTATAATAGAAAATAACCATAATGAAAAGGGAGGACCGAGAGAAGAAGAAATAGATTCGAACAGGGAGAATGACTATTTGAACAAGAACAAAAGGATTCGAGTGGGTAAGAACCCAAAAAAAAAGTATAAAAAATGAGGAAGAAAACAAAAAAAATATTAAGGAAAAAGGGAATTCGGGAAACTAAATGAGAGAAAAATGAGAAGAGAGCACTTACCTTACCCAAAGTTCATCGGTCCACGGTCGCCAGGGAGAGACTTCGCAGTGATCGGAGTCTTCTCTTTCTCTATTTTCCCTAAGTTGAAAAAAATGAGAGGAAAAGAATGAAGATATGGGTGGTGAAAAAATAATGGGGCTAGAGTTGTTATTAAGCTTAAAACAAGGCTATTTATGTAGCCTACAAAATGATGCCGCTTAGGGATTAAGGGTTTATAGATTTTAGAACGTGGGTTAATAGTCTCTGTGGTCATTCAAGTTTTGTAAGCTTTCATTTTGGTCACTTAATGTAAATGTATCTTTTCATGTTTTTCACTTCTAATTTTATTTTAATTATATTTTAGTTACTACTCTAATTAATATTGTATGCTATGGATTTATTCCATTTTGGTCCCCCGTGTTATTATATGTTAGAGAATGTGTATTTTTTCTTTAGGTCCTTTTCGTTATATTATATATTTATTTTAGCAATTGTTTAGGTTTTATTGGTCTATTTCATGATTAACCCCTATTTTCCATGTGTACTTATGATTTAATTCATAATATAGAACATTAATTTGCACATTTAGTCTATACACCTTCTTACCATTTTATTTTAGTCCTTATATATTTCTTTATGTATATAGAAATATAGTTTTTATACCTTATTTATTTATTCCTTTACGAATGTATATATAAATATTATATCTATTTTTTTATATTATTTACACAATAAATATTCGTGTGCATATTTTATTTACTAATACTAAATATTTTGACAATTATATATATATTGTTAAAACCTTTTTTTATGTTATAAAACATCCTTATATTTAATAGTGATTTTCAATATTTTTAATTGTATATTTTTCAAGGACATTGATCATAGAATGGGCGTGAAAAGAACTATTTGTTAGAAGTGGTGTAATTCGACGATATTCAAACTAAAAATGAACTTTTAATAAATTAATAAGTTTCAATAAAAAAAGGATAGACTAACTACTCAGATTTCTGCCTTCATCGAGCACGATTTCAATTATTTTCGCTGGTGTCTGTAGCATCGTGTGTCTCCGAATGAAGTTATTTTGGCTATACCGTTTGTTACTCTATTGCCTTCTCGATGTACGTGGATAGCCTTAGTCCTCAATTCATTCGTAGCATTCGATTTATGTGGTGCCATAGCGTTGATTTGAGTTCCATATGGGTCTTGTTAGGCATCCCTCTCCAATTTTCTTTATTGTCAACCTCGATTATCAGCTTACTTGTTCCAAGCTATCATGCACTCCTCAAACCTTCGAGCACCCCCACAGCTTAGCTTCTAGTACCGAGCAAGTTCCTACTGACCTATGACACCCAAGTTTCCAATTTCCATTCTCGTCTCTTAAAACTCCTCCGTAGGATGTCATCCCGTTTTCTTATTCACTGTGCCATCCGTATTTAGTTTTACACAACCTCAAGGTGGTGGGATCCATGTGGTTTCTAATCTCGCTTGTTGTTTTATACTCGAGCAATCTTTTCTCGTTGCTCCTATTGCGCTACGTGTCTCCACCACAAGTTTTTAACCGCGCTTAGTTATCGATTCGCTCTCAATATTTTCCAAATGATGGTTCCAAACAACATGTCCCATTCTTCTGTTGCAAAATATGTTAGATTTGTGATAACTCTCCAAAAGAGTTATCTTTAGTAGCCTTTTTCACTTAAGTTTAGTTTAAACTTGAGTATTTTTAGGAGCATATTTGTTTAATTTTCATATTTTGCATATTGAGAATTTAGTGGGTTGTCTAGGGCTGAATTTGAATTTTATTGCTACAAAACTATTACAGTGATGCTGTAACATTGCATGAGATGCTGAGTGGATGTTGCAGCAACCGATGAATCACCAGACGATTAGGAGAACTTTCTGAAAAGGGACACCTGGCTTGGGTAGCTGTCAATGGGCTGGAAACCACTTGAAATGTGAAACATTCATTGGAGGATGTAAAATTTCTCAAGACTATAAATGGGAGTACTTTGCAAGCTAAAGAGGGGATTGTGAAAACATTTTAAAAAGTACTTATTTCACGTTATTCCGTCAAACGCCATGGAAGCTTAAGTCCCATGCTAAAAACTGTTGTAGCATAAGGAGAGCTAACTGAGAACATCGACAGTCAACAGGTCACCATCTGAAGCTTATTGTTTGAGCGAGGGAGTGACTTTAGAAGTTTTTAAGACTTTATGGATGATATTTTAGATTGATTACTTTATATTTTGTTATGCTACTACTGTTAAGTATTATTTGCTTTGTGATTACTATTAGAAATTATGATTAAACGTATGATATTTTGATTAATTTTCCAGAAATAGAGTTGATTGATTTGATGTGTACTTTTGATAGCATTGGTATTGCCGAGGATCAATGTGTATAATGAAAATCGTACAATCAATTTTTTAACTTTACCAATACTTTGGATCCTTTAATTAATAAAAGTTGATTAGAGTAGTTCAAAGGGTTTTAATCATTTTTAATCCCATGGAAATAATACACTTTGTTTACATAAAGTGTGATTTTCATAATAACGTTTCATGTGATTCGATAGCTGGCTTAACGCTCTCTATAGTGTTGTATCATGACTTGGTTTCTATTACTCTGATTTTTATTTCACTTAAACAACATATTTTACATACCCATAATTTTTTTCAAATCTTAGACTCTAATGAAGAACATTTTTCTCCCTGTGGTTACGATAATCGTAGCTCTTTGAGCTACCACTTATTACTTGGGAATTGTTGTATACTTGCACTTAAGCTATAGCATTTACACAACATCAAGTTTTTGGCGCCGTTGTCGGGGAGTATCAGTTTGATTTAGAGTTTTCTTTAATTTACTCATTTTGTATTTTGTTTTGTAGGTTTTTTTAGTTTTCATTTCTACTAGTTTATTCCCCGCAACGACGATGAATTAAAGTTGTTTGATCTAGAGATTGAAAGAACTTTTAAGAGACGTCATCGCGTAGCTGCAAGGAACCGAACAACTATGGTTGAACAAGGGAATGGTGTTTTACCCCCATTGCAGAATGGAGATGATGGTGAGTTGCCCACTCGTAATGGGGCGGGACAACCATTTTATAATATGTATGATCATGACCAACCTATCCAAGATCATGACCAACTTATCCAAGAACATGTAGTGACAATGCTAGATAATCTGTATCTGGGCATAGTTAGGCCAATGATTACTGCTGCAAACTTTGAGTTGAAACTAGTCATGTTCCAAATGCTAATCTACGGGCCAAATGGAGGGTATGTTGATGAAGATCCTCGAGCTCATTTGAGAGCGATCATGGAGGTATTTGATTCATTTATTCAGCAGGGTGTTCCTGAGGAAGCATTGAAGCTGAAGCTATTTCCTTATTTGTTGCATGATAAAACAAGAGCATGGTTGCATTCACTGCCTCCAGGTGCTATAACATCCTAGAATGAGTTAGTACATAAATTTTGCTGTGATTTAACCCGCCGAATATGAATGCCAAACTTCGAAATGATCTAAATTCATTCAAGAAAATAGAGGATGAAAGCTTGTATGTAGCATGATAAAGATTCAAGGAATTACTGCAGAAGTTTCCTCTGCATGGTGTCCACATAGGACTCAAATGGAGATGTTTTACAATGGGTTAAACATATACACTCGTATGGTGGTTGATACTTTAGCAAATGGAGCTTTATTAGATAAAACGTACAATAAAGCTTATGATATTCTAGATAAGATCTCAACTAATGATTGTCAATACCCTAATACAATGAATATGTTTGGCTGATGCAATGTTACAGCGGTAAATTCTGAAGCTTTCAACTCTATGGCATCTCATATTTTAGTATTGGCGAATACGGTTAAGAAATTTAAAAACCAGGGGGAATGTATGAGGTCAAGGATGCATCTATCATCACTTGTGTTTATTATGGAGATAATCACAATTTTGATGAATGCCCCCAAAATCCATAGTCTGTCTACTACGTGCAGAATTATCAACGGAATGATAATGTTTTCGGCAACACTTATAATGCTAATATCATGAATCATCCAAATATTTCTTGGAGAAGCCAAAATGTTGTCAATCCATAGCAGTAAAATTATCAACCACAACATATAATCAGCATCAACCAATGTTAGGGCTACAACTACAAGCATATCTAGTTGCTCAGCTGCAACAAAGGCAAACTTATCAAGGATAATCTTTAACCCAAAATTCTACTTTATCATTTCTTGAAGCTTTGATGAAAGAGTACATGGAAATTCAATCAAAATTGTTAAGGGTTTTAGAGAATCAAATGAGCCAAATGACAAATACTTTCAATAATCGGTTGCAAGGAATGTTGTATAGCGATACTGAAAATCCAAAGCAACAAGGAAAAGAGAATTGCAAGGCCATTAAAACAATAAGTGGAATTCATATTGGGGAGCCAATTGAATAACCTAAAAAAATGGTGTAGAGGCTACTCAGCATGGTAAGGGAATGAGCAAAGAAGTTGACTTAGAGCTACCTATGAGCCATACCACAACATCAATGCATGACAATGTAATAAATCAGACTCATTACCGATAGTAATACCTGCAACATTTGATGCTTCGCCAAATTCAATACCTCAGTAAAAATAACCAAAGATGCCTCCACCATTTCCACAACGCTTCAAAAAGACAAATTAATATCAACAATATAGAGCTTTCATTGATTTCATTCGCTAACTTACAATTAACATCCTGTTAATTGAGGCTTTAGAGAAAAACCCAAACTACATTACATTCATGAGGGAAGTCCTTTTGAAGAAAAGGAGAATTGGTGAATTTGAGACTGCCGCTCTTACTGAAGGCTGTAGTACTATGGCAACAAGTTAATTGCCATCAAAACTTAAAGATTTAAGGAGTTTTACTATTCCTTGCAATATATGTGATAAATTTGAAGGTAAAGCTTTATGTGACTTGGGTGCTAGCATAAATCTAATATCATTTTCAAATTTTAGGAAATTTGGGAGCGGCAAAACAAGACCAACTACAATCATATTGCAATTCGTTGACCGTTATATCGTGCATCTTAGTGGAATTTTGGTAAACATGCTTGTGAGTGTAGACAAGTTCATTTTCCTACGAACTTCATCATTTTGAACTGTGAAGCGGGTAAAGATGTTTCGATTATTCTTGGTCACCCATTCCCTGCTACTGGCCTAGCCTTAATTGATGTCGAAAAGGAATAATTACCATTAGTTTAAACGATGGCCATATCACTTTTAATATTTTAAATGATGTTTCTTACATAAATGAAAGTGTTGAATGTTTCTTACTTGATGTGATTGATTCACCAACTATTTGGTAGCAATTGAAAAATTATCTGATGATACCAAGGGGGAAATTTGTAGCAATTATATACAACATATTGAACCTCAAGAAATGTCTGATCATATTATTCGAGCCCCAACACTATTATTGAGGAACCACTTAAGCTTGATTTGAAACCCTCCTTGAACATCTGAAATATGTTTATCTTAGAGAGAATGAAACATTGCTAGTCATTGTGGTAGCACATCTTACAGCAGCACAGAAGGCTCAGTTAATTGATGTGTTGAAACAACACAAGAGAGCTATAACCTGGAACATCGCTGATATAAAGGGCATTAGTCCAACATTTTGTATGCACAATATTCTTTTAGAAGAACCTAATAGTAGCTCGATTGAACACCAATGAAAGGTAAATCCAATCATTAAAGAAGTAGTTTAGAAAGAGATTATAAGATGGTTGGATGTCAGAATCATATATCCAATTTTGGACAGCAATTGGGCCAACCCTGTGCAATGCGTTCCAAAGAAAGGTCACCTTACTATGGTAAAAAATGATAAAAATGAATTAGTGCTGACAAGGACCACTACTGGTTGGAGGATATGCATGGACTATAGGAAGCTCAATAAAGCAACAAGAAAATACCATTTTCTATTACCATTCATAGATGAAATGTTGGATCGTAATGTTGGTAAAGCCTTTTATTTCTTTTTGGATGGATATAGTGGTTATAATCAAATTGATATAGCACCATAGGACCAAGAGAAAACAACTTTCCCATGTTTGTATGGTACCAATGCTTTTCCAAGAATGCCATTTGGATTTTTTAATGCTCCAACGACATTTCAGCGTTGCATGATGGTCATATTCTCCGATATGATTGAAGATTATCTTGAGGTATTCATGGATAACCTTTAGGTTTTGGACAAGATTTTGAGCATTGTTTAAATAATTTGGTTTAGTATTGAGAAGGTATAGTGCTCAAGCGTCATATTTCCTACTGCTGTATTGAGGTGGATAAGGTAAAAGTATAAATTATTGAGAAACTACCACCTCCAACTAATGTGAAGGTAGTTCGAAGTTTCCTTGGACATGTTGGTTTTTATGGAAGACTTATCAAGGATTTTTCTCAAATTTCTAAGACATTATGTTCTTTTCTGGAGCAAAATATAAAGTTCTTTGTTGAAGAAGAAGTGTTCAAGTCCTTTGAAACAATTAAAGTGAAGTTAGTAAATGTTCTGGTCATTATATCACCATATTGGAGTCTACCTTTTGAGTTAACGTTTCATGCTAGTGATTTTTTGTTGGGGCAATAGAATGAAAGAGTGTTTCATGCTATTCATTATGCAAGCAGAACATTAAATGTTGCTCAATCTAACTACACCACAATTGAAAAGAAATTGTTCGCAATGGTTTTTACCTTTCACAAGTTTCATTCTTACTTGGTAGGTACCAGATTAATCATTTATACCAAGCATTCAACGTTGAGGCATTTATTTTCCAAGAAGGATACAAAACCTAGATTGATTTGATGGGTGCTTTTACTTCAAGAATTGACATTGAGATTAGAGACAAAAAGAGATCTGAGAATCAAGTGGTTGATCATCTATCTAGATTAGAATATGGTAGCGATAATGGCAACATTCTATTATTTTCGAATGATTTTCCTGATGAGTGACTGCTTGCTGCTACAACATTAGCTTGGTATGCTGACTTTGCCAACTATCTTGTTAATGGAATGGTGCCACCTGATCTTAACTATCAAGGTAGAAAACAATTCATGAGGGATGTAAGGCAATATCACTGGGAGGAGTCGTATCAATTCAAACAATGAAATGATCAAATTCTACGACGATGTATTCCTGAGTTTGAACAACAAAGCATTCTACAACATTGTCATTAGGAATAGGCATGGGTCGAGTTTGGGTCAGGTTTCGGCCAACCCGAAAATTTCACATCCTTCACCCTACCTGGCCTGACCCAAAAAATATATACCCTCTACCCGACCTGAACCCGACCCAATTTTTTGAGATAAAATTCGAACTCGATCCGACCCGACCTGAAATAATAAAAAATATTATTTTTATTCAATAAAAATAGTGATTTAATTGAAAAAATAATATATAGAGGGTATTATTATAACTATTTCTAAATATATAAGGTAAAATTATATTTTTCCTAGGTCAGTTTGGGTCATGTATTTTTACTTTAAACCCGAACCCGACCCAACCCGAACATCACCTTTAAAAAACTCGACTTGATCAGGTCGGGTCGGGTTGGAACCCATTGATTTTGGGTCCTATGCCCATCCCTAATTGCCATAACGCCCCTTATAGAGGTTATTTTGGTGGTATACGTACAACAGTGTGGGTATTATTAGCCATCACTATTCAAAAATGCTAATGAATATGTGATAGCTGCTAACAAAGAGTAATATTTCTCGACAAAATGAAACACAAATGCAACTTATCTTGGTGATTGAACTTTTTAATGTTTGAGGATTGGATTTTTGGGCCCTTACCCATCTTCTTATGGAAACTTCTTTATTTTAGTTATTGTTGATTATGTTTCCAAATGGGTGGAAGTTGTAGCCTTGCTAACCAACAATGTTAAAGCAATATTGTAATTCTTGTGCAAAAATATCTTCACTCGCTTTGAAACAGCCTGATCATTATCAATGATGAAGGATCTCAACTCATTGTAAACCAGGTTGCTAAAGCACTGCACCGTTATAGTGTGAATTATAAGATTGCTACAGCATATCATCCATAAACCAATGGCCAAGTCGAAGTCTCCAATCGAGAAATTAAACAAATTCTTGATAAGGTTGTGAATCCTTCTAGAAACGATTGGTCACAGCACCTTGAAGAAGCATTATGGGCTTATAGGACTGCTTAAAGACTCCATTTGATATGTCCCCTTATCGTCTTGTTTATGGAAAAGCTTGTCATCTTCCTGTGGAGCTGGAGCATAAGGCTATGTGGGTATTAAAGAAACTAAATTTTGAACTCGGCGCTGTAGGAGAAAAATGGATGTTAGAATTAATTAGTTATAGGAGCCCAGAAACAACGCATATGAGAGTTCACACATTTACAAAGATAAAAGTAAAAAGTGGCATGACCTGCATATTTTACCACGACAATTTATCGTTTGACAGAAAGTTCTGTGATTTAATTCTCGATTAAAGCTATTTCCAGGGAAGTTGTGATCTCGTTGGTTAGGTCCTTTTGAAGTACTTGAATTCTTTCCTCATGGAGTGATGTTATTAAAGAACTTGGTGGATGGAAGCACATTTAAAATTAATGGGC